TATATTATGTACTGGGGATTGAACCTAGTTGTACTTACTCACTGAGTCACATCCCTAGCCATTTTTGTATTTTATTTACAGACAGGGTCTCACTAAGTTGATTAGGGCCTCCTAAAGTTGCTGAGGCTAGCTTTGAACTCACAATCCTCCTGCCTCAGCTTCCTGAGCCGCTGGGATTACAAACATGTGCCAGCATGTCCATCCCTTCTCACTTAATCTTTTTTAACTTGTTATTGTATTTTTTATACCTTCATTTTATTTATTTTTATGTGGTGCTAAGGATTGAACCCAGTGCCTCTCATATGCTAGGCAAGCACTCTGCCACTAAGCCATAACCGCAGCCCCCTCTCAATCTTGATAATAACTTTTTGAGATAGGTGCTCCATTTTGCAGTTGAGGGAATTAGAATTTAGAAGTTAAGACACTTTCTCAAGATCACAGAGCTAGGAAATGGTAGGCCTGGAATTTGAACCACACTGGTCTGATTCAGAAATCTACAGATCTTTCTCTGTGCTCCTCCCTAATATCTCCCCATTCCTAACCTCAGGGGAAACAGGATTACCTTTCTTCCCCATCCTAAGCAGAGTTATCTGGCCCCGAGTACACACCCACTGTAGGAATGAAGTAATCCACTCTTTGGGGATGGTACTAGAGATCTCAGAAATTACTATCTCCCAAATTAACAAATGAATTACAACTCCAACAGAGAACAGGTGAAATGTAGCCTTTAAATCATCTCTTTAAAAGCCCCAAGTTCCCACTGAACAGCAGAATCACAGCCTTTGGGATAGGAGTCCCCTGTGTTTTTCCTTTGCTAGCAAAGCAATAAAACTTCTTTTTCCTTTTTCTCAAAAGCACGTCCTCATTATTGGATTAACATCCGGGGACAAGAACCAAACTTTTGGCAACAGTTGGCTGCCTCACTTGTAGAATTGGTCTGTTTCCTTGCAGACCTCTGGTGACACAGGTTTTAAACCTGTGTGCTCTCAAACTGGTTGTACTACAAAATCACCTGGGAAACTGAAAAACAAAACAAAACAAACAACCAACCTAGGGGCTGCACCTCCAACCAATGAAATCATCCCTTCTAGGAGTAGACCCAGACATTTGTATTTTGTGAAAGCTCTCAAGAAAATTCTGTTGTGCAACCAAATGTGGAAAACTACCCATAGAACATAGAAGGAGACTCAGTTAGAAAGCTGATTCTCAGTTTTAAACCCCTTTGCTTTCTCAGGAAGCCACACCTCCCCTGCAGGTCCCGTCTTTCCTCCCCCTTCCCTACCAGTTCACTTGGCTTTTTACCTAACAACATCTGAGGAGGGCAGCGATCATTGGTTGAGGAAGTGGCTACAAGCCAATTAAACCTAAGCACCAGGCGGGTTCCTAAACCAATGGGAAGCCTGTGAATCAATTAACATACTAAAGCTTTCTGGGTTTCACAAATACAAAATAAAGTAAATAATTTGCTCTTTTGGAAACAGCAAACACTCCACCTCTTAATCTGCTAACAACATGGCCTCCTGGGAAATCCTTTAAGAAAAGAAAGCTGCACCTCCTCTAAACTGGCTTCCGACAGCTGGCAGGCAGGCCTGCCCCCAGCCCACGCTGGTCACTGTATTCAAACAGAGAGCTGGTCACTGTATTCAAACAGAGAGCTGTGGAGGAGGTGGCTGACCAATGCTGCCAGGCTTTGCCCAGGTGAGACAGCTGCTTTCCTGCCTGAAGGCACCGTTCTGTGGGAAAGGTTCTGAGGTTCTGGAAGAGCTGGGCTCCGAGACGTGAAATGGGGATGAAGCTCTACCTGTTTCCCCCTCCCCAGGCCCTCTTGGTTCTGTCCACATGCTCATATGCCCCCCTCCCCGCTGATTCAAAGTGAGTGCTCCCTGGCACATGCCTGTAATCCCAGCAAATTGGGGAGGGTGAGGCAGGAAGATTGCAAGCTTGAGGTCAGCCTCGTCAAATGAGCAAGACCTCGTCTTAAAAATTAAAAAGGGTTGGGATATGGCTCAGTGGTAGAGAGCCCTTGGGTTCAGTCCTCAGTACTACAAAGTGGGTGTTCCCCAACCAGTGTATGTGGTGGAGTGGGTGGAAATGAGCCCAAACATCCATTCCTTCAGCCTTTGAGGCAGCCAGGTGGGGCCTGGGATGGCTAGTCTATGGGGCTGCTCCATTGATCCCAAAGGTCCATGTGAATATAATTTTCTATGTGTGCTATGACATGAGAATGAATGGGAAATAATGGCCTGGGTTAGCTCCAAGTTCTCCAGGTCCCTTGCCCTGGGTAGAATGGAATCCTGCTGAGTTGACATTCCCTATCCTTCCCTCGTGCTGGCTCACCTAATAAGGTTAAAGCCCATGCCCCAGAGGGATGAGAAGGGAAAGAAAGAGCAGCCCAAAGGGGCCCAGGGCCTGAACCATTTTAGAATCAGTGAACTTAACTTTGAGATAGTAATTAAGAGAGAGAAAAATATCCTGAGTCTCCAAAGGTAGTGCCCTTGAACAATAAGAATGATGGAATGAACCTTTGAAATGCAAAACAAGCAACTCAAGAGCAAACCAACCCAAATATTTAGCCCTCATTTTTGGCCCGCACCTTGGGCCCACATCTTTGCCTGCAAGATGTAACCCGTAGCAGGCAGTATGAAAGTGCAGGGAAAACTGGTGCAAAATTGAGGTATGTCTTTTATTTTATTTTTTACTTTGTCTTTTGTGATGCTGAGGATGGACCCCAGGGACTCATGCCTGCCTCATGCTCTTCCCCTAAACTTACACCCCTGGCCCACTGGTAATTCTCCTCTAACTACTCCTCTAGTCCACCCCAGCTACTGTTCTTCTGTAAAATATTGACAACCCAGAACAAAGGATTGCTGTCTCTCTGTTTGGAGATGGGCCCCATTCTCCCTTGAACATGTATTATTATTATTATTTTTTGGTAGTGGGATTGAACTCAGGGGCACTCAACCACTGAGCCACATCCCCGGCTCTATTTTGTATTTTGTGTATTTTATTTAGAGACAGGGTTTCACTGAGTTGCTTAGTGCCTCTCTTTTGCTGAGGCTGGCTTTGAACTCAGATCCTCCTGCCTCAGCCTCCCGAGGCTCTGGGATTACAGGTGTGTGCCACTATGCCCGGCTGAACATGTATTCTTTGACTTGCCCCAAAAGATGTCTTTCCCCTAAGATAGCCCACATTTCCTCTTGAATGTGTCTTTGCTTTCCTAAATAAATCTGTCTGTGCCTCTGACTGGCACATGCTGAAATTCACATATGCCAAGGACCCCACTTGTCCTGAGTTGAGGTCCCTCTCTCCAGAAACTTTTCTAGTGACAACTTCAGAGGCTCAAACTCTCTTCAGAAGTTTAGTTCTTCCTCTGGTCCCAAAGACTGTTCCTGGAGAGAAGTAATCTGTCAAAGTAGGGCTTACCTTGGCATCCATGATGCTGGTCTCCACACGGGCCACGCCCTGGTTCTCCCGGAACAGCTGGATCTTACTGATCTTGCTGAACTCGGACAGCACAGTGGTGAGGTTGGTTTTGAGGTCAATAACATGGCTGATGCCGTGACGGGGTCCCACTAAGAGAGTGGTAGCTGACTGCTTCTCGTCCTGGTGCCCAAGTGTGGCAGGCAGCATTAACATAAAGAATGGGGTAGGATGTGAGGAAGAAGAAGTAAAAGGAGAAAACACAAAATATGCATTGGGCTGGTTCTGCTGGTAGGGCTGGAAATATCTGGGGTTCAGTTCCAGGGCTAGAGGACAACCTTGAGGGGAAATGGTGTGGAACCTCTCTATTCCAACATAGGAACCCAAACCATTGTCTAAATCAATACCTTAGCCTCAACAGCAGGCTAAGTGGACAGCAGCAGAGCTGGTTCTAGCAAAATGGTGAGAATAAGTGAAGTTTGTTTTGGGGCCCTTGGAGAACCTTCCCTAACTAAGCCCTGCTAAACCTTCCAAGGTTACTATGGGTCATTCAGTGTCCCCATCCAGTGCTCTGCCTAAGCAGGCAGCATTGTGTCTGAACTTTACCCTCCCCCTCCAACAGCTACTCAAACCTGAACTTCTCAACCAAAGCCAAAAGCTGAACTGACCAAGTAACTGCCTAAGGTGTTAAGGGTCGATTGAGTGCTTAATGGAGGCCTCCTTCCCTGAGGATATGTACCTTTTAATAGGCATTCTAGCAATCTTTATTCAAAAGAAAGGCCAATGGGAATTTCAGCAGTGGTGGAGGGCAGAGAGATTTGTTGGTGTGTGCAGGGGGTGGGGCAGGTCAGTGGACTTTCAGTGTTCTGCAAATTCCAGTATGTAAAATGGCTACCTCTCCGTCTGATGGACTTGATTCTCTTTAATGGTTCTGACAAGCTCCTTGGAGCCATCAAGCCTGAGCCCTTGGCTGGCCCATTCCCTGCCATTAGCATTACCCCAGGAACCTCTTATGTCTGGTTATAGGCACTTTGATAAGCTGCTTTCCTCCTGTGTGCTCCCTCCAGAGCTTGGCGAGCACCTGGATCCAATCAGCAGGATGATTTTCATTTCCTTTTACAGGGGTCAACTAGCCTGGGGCACATCTTGTGGGTGGAGCAAGCTATGCCAGCCCTAGGATATTGCTGTGGCAGTGGAGGTGCTGGGACAGGGGGAGGGGGGCGTAATAAGGACTCAGGAAACCTGGTGTAGAGGCCATTGGGAGTATCTATAAGGGCAATGGTTCTGGCAACCTATGGCCTAAGGGCCAAATGATTCCCACCACCTGTTTTGGTATGGCCAAAGAGTTAAGAATGCTTTTTACATTTTAAATGGTTGTAAATAAATCAAAAGAACCATATTTTGTGACGCTGGAACATTATATGAAATTCAACTTTCTGGGTCCCTAAATAATTATCAGCATGCAGCAAAGCCCATTTGTTAATACATTGTCTATGAGTGCTTTTTTTTTTTTTCTTTTGGGAACTGAGAATTGAACTCAGGAGCACTCGACCACTGAGCCTCATCCCCACCCCTATTTTGTATTTTATTTAGAGACAGGGTCTCAATGAGCTGTTTAGCTCCTCACCATTGATGAAGCTGGCTTTGAAATCAGGATCTTCCTGCCTCAGCTCCCTATCCCCCACCAGCTGCTGGGATTACAGGCATGAGCCACCATGCCAGGCTTCTGTGAGTGCTTTTATGCTAAGACAGCAGGGCTAAGTTGCCGCCACAAAGACCCATTTGGTCTACCTGCAAAAGCCTAAAATATCTGGTCTTTTACAGAAAAAGTAAAATGCCAACCCCTGAAATAGAGGAAGGGGAACACAAAGGGGCAATGAAGGGATGCTGAAAATAAATACAGTCAGCCCTCAGTATGCATGGGGAATTTGTTTCAGGACTCCCTTGCAGATACCAAAATGCATGGATGCTCCAGTCCAGTAGAGAAAATGGCATAGTATTTGCCTATCACCTATCCTCCTGTATACTTTAAATCTTCTCTAGATTACTTATAATACCTAATCCAATATAAACATAAACAATGGTTATGCTATGTTGTTTAGGGAATAGTGTCAAGAAACATTCTGTACACATTCAGTACAGACACAATTTTTTTTTGAATAGCTGTGATCCATAGTTGGTAGAATCAATAGATACAGGACCTACGGATATGGAGGGCGGACTGTATTTTCCTCTCTTGTTCCCACCATGGACAAATGTCAACAAAAGGATGACACCCCTTCCCCCTCCCCCCTTTACCCCACTGACCAGACCCACAGTGTTGAACAAAACGCCGGTGAAGGTGGGAAGTTCATTCAGAATTCGAAGGTACTGGAGCTTTGCCTGAATTGCAGAGCCCTGTGGAAACAGCCCACCTCAAAATATGAGAAGCACAAGGAGCACAGAAAAAACAAACCATCTTCTTAAATAGGAGTCTTAACATACTAGGACAGGCTGAAGGCATTAAGCTACTACATTGGGAATGTGAGGAGGCCTGAGTAAAATAACAGGAAGGTTCCAGTTCAGGGAGCTTTCATATCTAGCATCCCATCTCACTTTCTAAACCCTCCTCTGACCCCCTGATCCTCATTTCTAAAGCATCCAGCTGACTACATTTTTCTTCTTGGATTCATTCCAACACTTTCCCAACTCTTTGTTTTTGTACCAGGAATTGAAACCCAGGGGCGCTAAACCACTGAGCCACATCCTTTTTTATATTTCTATTTAGAGACAAGTCCTCACTGAGTTGCTTAGGGTCTTGCTAAGTTGCTGAGGCTGGCTTTGAACTCATGATCTTGCCTCAGCCTCCCAAGCCGCTGGCTTATAGGTGTGCACCACTGTGCCCAACTCTTCCCCAAATTTGACACCCTGCCCAATCTATGTATCTCTCCTAAGTTTCTTCAAATCCTCAGAACCACCTAGATACTGGCTATCTCCAGGTGGGGGTGTCTCAGTTAATGCTTTAATACTGAGCACCCCTGCTTCTCAAGGGTGATATCCATCCATTCCAGGTCTCCATCAGCATCTCTGGGGCAACTGAATCAGAAACCTGAGAGTGACACTGGACTCCTCCTCCATCCTTTGATCTGAGGGCCACTAGTCACCAAATTATCTTGATTCTTTCCCCTAACTCCCTCTCCAATCTACCCATCCCTCTTCTTATGCTCCACAGTCACTGCATGGCATTCCTACCTGTGTCAGGGTGGCAGCCAGGTTACCTTTAGTACTAATATTTTTCCCCTCAAACACTTCCACACACTGTTAGAAGGGACATCCTAAAACATAGTAATTTAATCATATTGGCTTCCTGATTAAACCCTTAGATGGCTCCCTGCTGCCTACAGGATGAAATACAACCCCTTTTCATAGCACACAAGGCCCTTCAGGAACTGGCTTCTGCCCACCTCTCCCCTACCCAGCCTCCTCTCTTGTTGCCCACCCGCTTACCACATCCCTTGCATTCTGCTTACTTGCTTGGGTCCAGCTATTTGCATTTCTTTCCTTGCACCAAGGTCTCTTCTATCCCTGGGCATTTGTATAGATGGATCTCCTACCTGGGAAAGTCTTCTTCCTACTGACCACCCCCACCATCACATCTAGAAAAACTCCTGTCTGCCTGTCCTCCAAGACCCAGCTCTGGCTTCAAATGTACCAATTCCTGGCCTTATTCTTCATTCTCAACCTAGGCTTGGGATCCCTCCTCCATGCTAGAGCACAGTGCCTACAGCACTGTTGAGTCTGCTGATTGTGTTTCCCCACTAGATTGTGCTTGCTTCCAGGGCCAAAGTCAGGCCTTCTTTATCTTTATATCTCCAGGAGGAGCATTGGAGTGCCTCCAAAAAAAAAAAAAAAAAGGTAGCTGAGGAGTCAGTGAGCACTGGTGCTCTCAGCTGAGGAAAAAACAATCCGATTACATATGCACAGCAAGGTGGGAATGGCTTAACTCTCCAGGGAAATTTGAATCTTAAAAGAGAAGCTAGTTATAATATAAGAAATCTGGAATGGGTGGAATACATGGGGGTGACTGTGTCCTGTGTCTACATCTGCATGCTGATGCTAGTACCTCTCACCATCTTCCTGCCTCTTGGGCAGGAAGCTAAAGCAGAAAGAGCCTTTGAAGCCTAAGAAGGGCTTGCATGGCTAGGAGAGGTAGGGAGAGGGAGTTTCTCAGAGGCAAAGGGTTGTGTCCTAGTGTAGCAGTGGCCTAAGCCCTCCTCCTATGCTTGCCCAGTGACCCATTCTCCAGGTCAGGCTTTGTCATACCCCCCCGGGGGGGGGAGCTTTTACCTCCAGAATTCCATATACCAGAACAGATGAATTAGAAAGCTAGTCTGGAACAGAGTGATCATTCCCTTGGAAAATATGTGTCTCCCCAGGGTCTAGTGCTATCCACATGACAGGTGCTCAATCCACACTAACTAATTGGTAAAAGAACCTGAGGATGATCTCTGGAATTGGTCTCTTTGCTTTCAGGACCCAGAGGTCTATCAGTGCCACTGAGCTGTTTCTGGGACAGGCTCAGGCTTGGGGAAACTCCTTTCCATAACTGTCCCCATTCCCAGACATGATGGATGTGCACCTGAGTCAAAAAATGTGGTGAAGATCACCAGAGAAAACGCACCCCCCACCCCAAGACCTCTAGTGCCTGAACATGGTACCCCATGGCCTCTTCTGGGTACCTTGGTGCCACTAGAAGGATGCATTTGGTGAGCCTTCAGTTGCTGTGAGAGAGATTTCCGAAGGTTCTTCTCTTTGATGCCTTGTAGGAGGGAGGGGGGGAGAAAGGGTTCCAGGCCCCACTCCTTCCTAAAAGCAGAAGAAAAGTAAAAGATTAGTGAGAGACAAAATGTGACAGAGAATAGAAGATGATAAGTCAGAAACTGAATCTGAAAAGTACAGATGGAGGAATAGAGACTGGGAGAAAGAAAAAGAGGGACTGGAACAAGAGAACATTGGCCACACTTCCCTAATAGAAGCGGTAGCTCTAGGGCATCATGGGCTAGAGCAAGGTGTGAGGAACTCCAATTCTCACTCCCATTCCACTTCTTGCATTCCTGATAAAGGGCAATATAGCTCAACCATTTTACCTTCTTCCTACACAGCTATTTGCCCCCAACCCGAAGGGTCCCAGCCCAACTCACTCCACATTCTTGAGTGAGATCTTCTGACTAGGCCGAGTGGCTGAGACAGTGATATAGATGTGGAGGGCAGCAAGGCCCAGAAGCATCTCCGGTTTGGGATCCATTCCAAAGCGTTCTCGGATAACATCATTCCGACTCTGTGAGAGAAGGCAGTCCAAACCTGTTAGTTAAAGGCGATGTTCCCTCCCCACCCCCTATCTACTCCTTTATATCTCAGAAAAGAACCACCATGTTGGTAAGACATGGTAGATCAAAGGAAAGAGGAAGATGCTGCCCTTGGGGAAGAGAAAACAGAGAAGTCTCAGGTCACAGAGACACTATTAGCTTTATTCAGCAGATAGTGGACAGTTTTCTCAGTGACAGGTGTGCACAATGGTAGGGTGCAAATGGGCATAAAGTAGTTACAGCATACCACTCCCTTTCTTTCCTCCTCTTAAAAAAGACCCTCCCACATTTGGGGTAGCAATACTCACCCCCACAATCATATAAAACTCTTCCACAAGAGCAGATGGGAACAAAGAAACAGAGACATGGGGAAGGACTCTGTATAGTGTTCTGGCCCAGAAACTCAGGGTGAGAGATGGATTGCAGGGATGAGGTAGACATTATGTTCCTTGGGGTGTGAAGGACAAAACATTGATGGGCCAATCATTCCTAGGCTGTTTTCATGTTGATCTCCTGGAATTGCTGGCCAAGCATTATGGTAACCCTTGAACTCTAAGGACCAGGACCCCCAGCTATCAATGAATCTAGCTTGGTTAGAACAGTTGTCCATTTGGTTGAGGTGGACCCAGTTAAGGGACTAGGGAGTCACAGTGGTATAATTGTAGCATGGGAGAAGGTAGAAAAGGAATACTTTTAAAATGATCGTCTACGTAGAAAATCCAATGGAATCTATAAAAAACTACTAGAATAAGTGAGTTTAGTAATGTTGTAAGACATAAGGTTAATATATGACAGCTAATTGTATTTCTGATAGCAACAAACAATTGGAAATTGAAATTAAAAATCCAAATAATTGATAATAGCATCAAAAATATAAAACAATTAGGAATAAATCTAGCAAAACATGTGAAAGACTTGTACACAAAAAACTATGAAACACTGCTGATAAAAATTAAAGACCTAAATCAATGTAGAAATACTGTGTTCATGGGTTAGAAGATTTAATATTTTTAAGATGTCAATTCTACTCAAATTGATCTATAGATTTAACACAATCTCAATCCAAACCACATCAAGTTTTTTATCAGAAATTGATGTGTTGGTTCTAAAATTCACATGAGAACAAAAAGGATCTAGAATAGCCAAAATGACTTTGAAAAAGAACAAAGTTGGGGCTGGGGTTGTGGCTCTGTGGTAGAGTGCTTCCCTCACATGTGTGAGGCACTGGGTTCAATTCTCAGCACCACATATAAATAAATGAATAAAATAAAGGTCCATCAACACTAAAAAATATTCAGAAAAAAAATTGGAGGACAAATACTACTTCATTTCAATACTTATTATAAAGCTACAAAAACAAAGTAGTATAATGTTGGCATAAGGATATATAAGTAGATTAATGGAACAGAATAGAGTTCAAGAATATCTCCACAAATATATAGACAACTGAATTGTTTTTGATTTTTTTTTTTTTTTTGCATTACTCCGGGTTGAACTCAGGGGCCCAAGCATATGGGGCAAATAGTTCTACCACTGAGCTATATTCCAATTCTTAAATTTTATTTTGGGACAGGATATCACTAGGTTGCCCATATTAGCCTCAAACTTTGGATCCTGGCTCAGCTTCCCAACTATAGTGTGCCAGGGTAAATGACTGTTTTGTTTTCTTTTGTTCTTTGGCAGTATTGGGATTGAACCCAGGGGCCCTCTACTACTGAGCTACATCTCAGTCTTTTTATTAGTTTGAAACAGGGTCTCACTAAGTTGCTAAGGCTAGCCTCTAACTTGCAATCTTCCTGTCTCAGCTTCCTGAGTCTCTGAGATTATAGTTATTCATCACTGTGCCCAGCTGGACAACTGATTTTTGACAAGGGAAATTCACTGGAGAAAGGACAATCTTTTCAACAAATGGAGTTGGAATATGGATATCCATATGCCAAAACACACAAAAAAACTTTGATGGATACCTTGCATCTTATATGAAAGTCAACTCAAAATATTTCATAGATCTAAATTCAAAACCTAAAATGATAAAACTTCTGGAAAAAATATAGAAGAGCTTTGTGATCTTGAGTTGACAAGTGTCTTCTATGTGACACTAAAAGTACTGTACATAAAAGAACAAATTAACAAACTGGACTTCATAAAAATTCAACATTTGTTCTTAGGAAACACTACTGAGAGATTGAAAATACAAGTCACAGACTGGGAGAAAATAATTGCAAATAACATATCCAACAAACAACTTGTTTCCAGAATACATAAAGGACTCAAATATCAATAACAAGAAAACAAATAGTCCAATAGAAAAGGAGGCAAATAATTTGAACAGACATTTCACCAAAGAAGATTCAAGATAGCAAATAAACACATGAAACATTGTTCAACCTCATTAGTCATTAGGGAAATGCAAATGGCAACCACAATGAGATGCTATTTTACACTAATAGAATGACTAAAATAAAAAAGTACGTGTGTGTGTGTGTGTGTGTGTGTGTGTGTGTATACATGCACACACATATCTCAAGTGTTGAAAATGATGTGGAGAAACTGGAACTCTCAAAATCATCATGCTCATGGGGCTGGAGTAGTGGCTCAGTGGTAGAGCACTTGCCTGACATGTGTGAGGCCCTGGGTTCGATAGTCAGCACCACATAAAAATAAATAAAATTAAAAAAATAATCCAGGGCTGGGGATTTGGCTCAAGCGGTAGCGCGCTCGCCTGGCATGCGTGCGGCCCAGGTTCGATCCTCAGCACCACATACAAACAAAGATGTTGTGTCCGCCAATAACCAAAAAATAAATATTAAAATTCTCTCTCTCTCTCTCTCTCAAAAAAAAATCCATTGACAACATTTAAAAAAATCATCATGCTCAGCTAAAGAAGCTAGTCTAAAATAAGTATACATACTGTATGATATTGTAAATTTTAGTAAATGAAAACTGATCTCCAGTGATAGAAAGCAGGTCAGTGGTTGCCTGGTGATTAGAGGGAATGAATTACAAAGGAACCTGGGGAAACTTTTAAGAATAATAGATATTGCCATCTATCCTAGCTGGTGACATAATGCTGGGTTCACGAAATCTCACTATTCCAATAACTTAAGAAAACTGCAAAGAAGGCCTGCAAACACACAGAAATACCTTTTCAAAATCCAGGACAGCTCTCTGACCTTAGGGGTCCGTGGAAAGAGAGAGAGCCAAAGTTATTGTGGGGTACAATAATTGTTCAGTATCTCTTGCTCAGGACTTAAGGGCGTGTATTTCCGGAGAGGCTCCCAACAAATAAATATGTTCAATATTTTGAATGTGTTGATATACATATATGGGTGTATACATATATGTGTCAAAATTTGTCACAGTATGTACTTTATTGTTTCAATTATTTATTTATTTTTTGGTGCCAGGTATTGAAACTGGGGGCACTTTATCACTGAGCTACATCCCCAGTCCATTTTTTATTTTGACACATGGTTTTGCTAAGTTGCCTAGGGCCTTCCTAAGTTACTGAGACTGTATGTGTGTGTGTAAACACGCACACACACACGTCAGGAGGATTGAAACTGTAATCCTCCTGCCTCAGCCTCCCAAACTACTGAGATTATAGACATGCACCACCATGACCCACACAATGTGTACTTCAAATGTGCAGTTTGTTGTGTATCAATTATACATCAATAAAACTAAAATATGAAAAAGAGGGAATAAATCTGATATCCATATCATCATAAAGGGGAGAATTTGGGTAGATATGGTCTTGTCATCAAATTTGGAAATATTAGAACCAAGGTGATCCCCAGAAGCTTAAATGAAGATGTTATATCATATGCATGTACAAATATGTAATAATAAATCTCACCACTATTTACAAGTATAGTGCACCAATAAAAATGGGAAAAAGGAGGCTTGAACAAAGAAATTCAGGGTAAAACAAAATGAGAATTAAACTTCTAAAATTCATAGAGCAACCACACAACTCATTTCCCCCTGGAGGGTTGGTAAAGGAACTTAAGGCAGAGAAATGTTCCTAACATTTTAAGTTGTCAAAAAGGGCAGAAAGGACAATGATGATGTCTCATAGCATATTCCCAGTTGTCACTATCAGAGACAGATAAAGTCTGGGTTTATTTTTTCCTCTCATCAAGTGCTGTGTACATCCTGTGGGCATCTAAAACTCCACATGTCCTCAAAAGATCTCCTCTTGTCCCCAAACCCATTTCACTGCCTTTGTTTCTTAATTTGAGGAATGATACCACCTCTGCCAGACACTCATCAAGTCAAAGTCTATTGAATTCTCATTTTAAATCTTTTTTAAATACCTTTATTTATTTATTTATTTATTTATTTATTTATTTATTTATTTATTTATTTATATGGTGCTGAGGATTGAACCCAGTGCCTCATATGTGCTAGGCAAGCACTCTGCCACTGAGCTACAACTGCAGCCCTTAAATCTCTCTTGATTCCCACCTACGCTATCATAGTTCTGATTCTGGCCCTCATCATTTCTTCTCTGGATAACTGCCATGGTTCTCTAGCTGGTGAATTTCCTTGGCACTGTGTGATCTTTTGAAATTGCTCATCTGACCAAGCTATTCTCCTTTCACCATTTTTGTGCCTCCACATAATTTCTTTATCTGGATTGCATATTAGAATCACCTGAAGAATTTTAAAAATAGCAATGTTTGGGAGTCAGCTCACAGGTCTTGATTTAATCAGTCTTGAGGGTGGCACAGGACATTTTTATGGTCTTGAAATGTGTGAATTTTAATAAGAAAATGAACAATCAGCCAAAGGCAGAAAAAAGCAGGGAGAGTGGGTCTCTTGTCTGATAGGAAAGGAGAATATTAACTTTGAGAGCACCTATATATTTCCTGCTTTGACACTGTGGGGCACAGAGCATTTTTTTCCAAAACTTTCCAGATAATTCTAATGTGCAGTTAGGGTTAAGAACCACTGTCCTTAAGCAATAATTCTCAAACTCCTTTGTAAATCAGAATCCCATGGAGGGCTTGTTAAAGCAGATCACTGATTTCTAACTCCAAGTTTCTGGCTCAATAAGATTGGGCTGGGCCCCAAGAATTTCCATCTCTAACAAGGTCCCAGTTGATGCTGATGCTGCTGCCTTTGGGACCACACTTTGAGAATCACTGCCCAGCCTCCACCATAAAGCCTATGCTTGCCATGGCCTGCCAAGCCCTTCACTGTCTGCTTCCTGTCTCTCCCACTTCATTTCCTACTGCTCCGTACATTACATCCTGTATCACAGCTATAATAAAATCACTCAGTTGTCTCATTGTACCATGCTATTTAGTGCCCCCATTGCTCTTGTAAAAGCAAAGTCCTTTGCTTAGAATATATTCCCTCTACTCTATATCTCTACACAGCAAACTTCCATTTATCTCATTGCGAGGAGCATGTGTTTATCACTTCCTCTGTGAAGCCTTCACTATCTCTCCCATGTGCAGTTGGTAAACTGCTTCCTGGGTGCCCTCATTGACAGTAAACCCCACCATTGTCATATTTATTTACACACAGACTAGCTTAAAGGAGCCAAGATAGTTCTTTTGTCATCTTTGGTCGCCAATACCTAGGGTAGGGCCTGGAATAGAGTAAGCACTCAATGTTTTTGGGTGAAGTGAGTTGGGAATCATCTCCTTATCAGAGCATGGTATTGGAGGTTGAGGACCCCTGCAACCCAATGTGCTTATTAGACCTTGCGATCCTGTGAAGGAGCCAGAGTTATTTGGGTTGATTGTTCCTGAAAACCAATGAGCTTCATGATCAAAAAGACAGGACATTGAGCCACAGGCAGCTCAGGTCACCAGGCCAGTGAACTTAGCCATGGAGTACAATGGTAGCAGAAAAGAAAAGGGCCTTCAGAACCACCTGGAAGTTGAAAAAACTTACATAGTGACTTCACTGTGATGGCAGAACAGCCTGCCTGCTTGTTTGTCTACTAGCTGTTTGTCTGTACCCCAAGCCATATTCTACCTGGATGTAAAGGTACTCGAAAGCAGCAGGATCCCGACGCAGCAGCTCCACGGGGTCTTTGGGAAAGAAGCTTATTCGGAACAGGCATTTCATTCCATGATAGTGTGTCCTCTGTACCACCTAAATCCCAGGGGTGAGAGGTGAAAGTAAGGATCTACAATGCTCGAGTAGTGGGCAGTCAGTTTGGTGGCTCCTTCAAGTGGGGCTTAGGGGAGAGTTAGGCTGTTGTTTCCCATTCTGTCTCTCACCTGGCAGATTCACATTCAGTAAACTTCGTCCAAGGTTTTGCTTTCCCTATACTCAGTTAGACATGGTCAACTGTAGTCTGAGAATATTAAATGGGAATTTCCAGAAATAAACAATTCATGTATATTATTTATTTCTTTATTTATTTAGGGCAGTAGGAATTGAGCCCAGATGCAATTTAACAATTGAGCCAAATCCCCAGCCCTTTTCCTTGTTTGAGTCAGGATCTCACTAAGTTGCTTAGGGCCTAGGTTGTTGAGGCTAGTTTTGAACTTGCTATTCTCCTGCTTCAGCCTCCCCAATTGCTAGGATTATAGGCATGTACCACTGTTCCCAGCTTATTATTGTTTTTAATATCTTACTGTACTTAGTTTATAAATTAAACTTTATCATAGGTCTCTATGTATAGGAAAAAAAACAGAACATGTATGGTTCAGTACTATCTATGGCATCCACTTGTGGGGGGGTCTTGGAATATATCCCCTGTGGATAAAGAGGTACTATTGTACCCTTAGAGGAAAGTAGAGCAAGGTCTTTTCTGCCCTTCTGACCCAAAGTGACTGCTATTTTAAAATCACTTATCTATTGCTTCTCAGCCTTTGGGCTAAGATCACATGTAAAATCATTTATTTAAGACATGGACTTTATCAACAATCAGGTCTAAGTGCTTAAACACTAGGTAGGAAGAGAGGGCTCTTGGGAACTTCCCAGACTCTTTTCTTGCAGAGGGGCTCAGCTTCAAGCACAGTAACAGTTGCCAATTAGAGGCCAAATCAAATTGAATACCTATTTGGAGGTATAGATGAAACACTATACCTCCCAATATACTGTTAATGGTTGAAGCTGGGGATGGCTAATAGAGTTCACAATACTATATTCCTTCTACTTTTGTGTATGTTTGAAATTTTTCATAATAAAAAGTTTGAAACTTCTTTTGAAGTCTGGTTGTATTCAAAGGGCTGCTTGGGGAGGGGCTCTTAAACCTCCTCCAAGCCACTTACCCATGGCCTTGTCTTTCCTACTGCTGAGGCTCTTGTTTGGATCTGGCTGACAGCTGAGCTTGAATAATTTTTCTTTCCAAGAACTCATTTGTGTGTGTGTGTGTGTGTGTGTGTGTATGTATGTATGTATGTGTGAGATTTTGGTTTTTGTTTGGCTTCCATGTAGGCTCTTAGCCATAGAGTAGAATTTTTTCCCAATTGTCCTTCTCCAATTCTTTCTCATCCTACTTGGGAAACCTGTTTGCTACTCTGATAATTCTTGGTGCTTCATATTGGTAAAATCCCATCCAGAGTCCTAGATTTCTTCAGCCTTTTTTCTAAATGGAGTGGGCCAGGAAGATCACTTTTTCCTACTCTACCTTGGAAGATAATATAGATGACAGGGTGTCCATTCTTGGCCCTACTCAGCCAATTCCCAACTCTTACTTGATTCCATTTTCTGACTTTTCTATATCACAGCCTCATCTGAAAGGCCAATTTCTCTTCAGGAAGGAGAAAAATTTAACAAGTGGGCTTTCTGGGAGACAGAAGACTATTTGTCAGTTCAACATTCTGGGTGCCATGCAGTGAATCACTCTTCTCCCTGGAGACCAAGACTAATGAGCTTTCCTTAGGTCACAAAGGGCATTGCCCAAAGGCCCTCTGTAATGGGTAGTAACAAACTTAGGTATGAAATATATCTTCTGGGACATATCATTACGAATCTTCTAGGGAGGGAGTGCCTTGGGTCCTCTTCTCTAGTACAGGCCACATACAAAGCTACTGGGCCAAGATAAAGGAGTTACTTACATAAGCCAGGGGCTGCTTGTCTTGAAGAAGCAGGAACTTGTGACTCTGTTCTGGCCCAGCATATTCAAGAACAAGAGCAAAGTGCTCAATGTACCTCAGGGAGAGGCGGTCCTGTAATGTCACCATTACATCCTGTGGAAGAAAAAGAGCCTTGAGAGGGTGATCTTTTTTGGCTTTAATTGACTCACAATCATGTGAGGAGGGGATTGAAAGCCAAGCACAGTAGTCCCATGGAGAAGGCTGAGACAGACACTAGCCTTTATTATGGCCCAGGTACTGGGCTCCATGAAGGCTGCCCAGTGGCCTGGGCCCTGGAGAACACCACAGGTATAAGGGATGGAGGCAGGCATTCCAGAAACTCCCTAGGTGATGCATATGGCAAAAGAAGGTCATGTCCATCTCTCCTTCCTTCCTTTCCTTCCTCCCTTTCTCCTTCCATTTGACAAACTATTCCCTGAGTGCCAGGCACTGTGTTGGTTCTCCCCTTATCTCTCATAAGTCAGAATGCCCACTCGAGTTTGTGTGTCAGCTCTTTCCTTTAGGAATTAGCAAAAGCTACATTTCTATAATTAAAAAAGTATACTATTTCCAGATTCATAATCTAATTCAAATGACTTCAGTTACTGGCAAAATGTTCATTTTTGACCATTGCTGGCTTTTAGAGACAATCAATTTAGCAACTTGAAAAATGTGTCCATGCAGAGGAACTATGTCACGTGTCTGGTTTACAGTCATAAATCTGACTACTTCTGGGCTCCGTCTGCTCTGCTGCCCTACTTTTAATACTAGGGCGTCTGGAAACATATTGGTGGGGGCTGTCCAAATGTCAGTTTGGAGACTTCTGCCATCTATTTGTTGTGACTTCAGCATATCCGCTGGGTTCCAGTGTGTGTGTTCAGCATCTCTCAGCCCCCAAAGCCTGGAAAGAAGCAGGCTTGGGAATGCAAAGCTACCTGACAGCCAGCAATGCCAAACAAGCCCTTCAGTGAACACAGAAAGGCGTTCAGCCATTTAAATAGTAGGCTGGAAATTGGTGGGTACTTGAGAGGATCTCTTTGTGTTATCCAAGTAGTCACAGAGGCACCAGTGTTGCTGGAGCTCTGGCAGGGACAGATGAGGTTTTCTTTGCAGTTCAGCTGCACTGGGATTGTGGACAGCCAAGCCAGCAATTGCCAACTGGTGTTACAAGTGTAATGGTCCCTGTGCCAGGCTGTCAATTCACCCAGGTACCTCTCTGGGACAAGTGGCTTGGCAGCCTGTCAAAGTTCCAATGAATAGCCAGTGCACCCTTACTGAAGTCAGAGTGAGACTGCAAGTGAGGAGAACACTGCTGTCCTGGAAGGCTGGGGCTATGGAGAAGCCATGGTAGCAGTGACATGTTGGGGGAAGAATACTCCGAGAAGCCTCCAAGGGGAAAGAGAGGGGGTAAACACTCCACTGTGGAGACAAGCTTCAATGTGCATAGCAACCCATGAACAAACACCAGGGAAGATTTTGACACAATAAGATATCCACATCTGGAGGAGTGGACATTCAGATACCCAGGGTTGGCCTAATTGGTTCTGTTTCACTGGTCCCTCCCATATTCTGAGACCTTCAAGAGCTAAGAGACCATCCCATGACTCCCTAAGGAGTACATTTTGATCCTAATTCTCTGGGGGACCTGCCTAGGCCTAAGCCTTCCAAAGAAAGCTTTGATTCAATTAATATGGATTAAGTACTATAAATTGTACCCAAGATGCTACTGGAACTTTGAGAAGCACACTTCTTCATCTTTCATGGACTATCCCCTCCCCCTGGAGAACATTTAGTGTCTCTGACCTTCAGACACTAAACACTAGTGGCATGACAAATCATTGGGATAATATAAAACTCCCTTGGACATTTCCAAAAGCTTTCTAGGAATGTGTAGTCCTTACCCTGCTAGAAAACTACTGGCAAGGCCCATTCCAGGCATCTGTTATCTCTTTTTTTGCAAACATTTACTGGCCCAGGGGCTTTTATATTTATAGGGTTGTCTTGGCCCCAGTGTGGGAACCATAGGTTACCTATGGGTCAAGCAGGTTTTCTGGGTAGGTGCTATAGCTACATAGCAGTTTGGGCAGCATTGATTGCATTAAAACATTAATTCTGGGGATGATATTTTCTTTCTGGAAATAGTCTAGAAGAAGCAGAACAGATATTTCTGTCCTATAGTAGAGTCAACCTTGGGGCAAATCATATCATGGCTTATACACCTAGGCACTAAGAGAATCAGTAGGACTTTCCAATACCTGGCTGATCTGTACAATCACAGTTTTATTAATTGCTCTTCCTGTGTAAATAACAGCCAGGACTGAGGGTGTAGCTCAGTGGTAGTGTGCCTGTCTAGCATATGCAAGGCCCTGGGTTTGATCCCTAGAACTGAAAAAAAAAAAAAAAAGCCAAAGCAGTTGTGGCCAGACTTTTTAAATCTTGGTTTGGTGCTTCAGATGTGGTTGTTATTTAAAAAGCAAAGCATGGCTCAGCTAATTTCCCAAGAGACCGCATTTGTTTATTTCTGTGTGTAAACTTGTGTAGGTGTTATTGTATCAATATAAATTGCTTTTGCTTTATAAATGGCTTAATGATCTTCACACTCCTTAGTTCCTAAGAGTCCTGAATGACCCTGTGTTACATGAACATAAAGCAGGTGACAAGCAGATGCGTACCCATGTGCCCACACACATTTTGACAATTATAGTCCACAATTGAGCATGCAAATTTCCGCCATCAGCCATATCTGAAGACTATGCATTTTTGCAGCTTTGTGTTCATAAGCATTGGGAGCTCAAAGGCCACCTTGCTCCAGCAGTAGCAGCATGTGCAGTCTCAGAGGAATGCGAGACAAACAGCTGTGTGTCCTCTGTAGAGGGCAATGTTGACCCAGGAGAGGAGACTCTGAAGGTACCTTAACAGTGGTCCGGCCATCAAATGTGAATGACTTGATCTGCCCGTTCTCTAAGAAAACCTTCAGGACGTTGGGGATGAGGAGGAGAGCTTCCTTCTTCATCATTTTCTAAGAACAGGTAAGGAAAAGTCAAGGAGAAGGCTCATTTAGAAGGAGGGAGAAGCCAGAGAAGGGTATGGAAAGGAAGGGACAGAAGGTTAAGGAGACAGAGAGTCAAAGGGACGGCAGGGCAGAGACAGAGAAAAAAAATCAACAATAATGTTAGGTGGAGACAGAGCCAAATTCCCTAAAGACATTGGAAAATATAAAAAGTACATCTCTCATATGACATCACAGTGCACTTGCATTCTCCTGTGATTCAAAGTGTGGCAGCTTTGGGCAGTGCTTGGCCCATTTGAGACCACTGTATACAACCTGAAGACTTCCTTTGGAGCCCAGCTTACTCACCTCAGCTTATCACCTATACCTCCATTTCCACCAGGTCCTTCACAAGCCAAGACTGCTTCCCAGTCTGTGCCTTTGCTCTACTGTTTCTGCCCTTCTATGGCATCCTTATCCCTCTCTGACCTGGCCCCTGCCTACCTCTCTGGAGTCATGTCTTACCATTCTTGATATCTTCATCTTTAATAATTCTTTGTCCTTCAGGGACTATCTTGCTTCCTACAGGATACTCAGCAACTCTGACCTTGAGACACTAAATGACAATAGCATGAAAAGTCAGTGGGATGATACAAAACATCCCCATATGGTTCCAAAGCTCTTGGAGGGTGGGCAGTACTGATGTTGATAAGAACCACTGGCAAGGCCTTTTCAAACACCTGATAACTAAATAGCGACAGTTTTCCTGGTCCAGTGTTTTCTTTATTTATAGAGTGGTGCATGCTAATTTCTCAATAAAAATTCATTAAATAAAAGCTATTCATTCTGCTTTCCTCTTTTCCTTCTTGGAAAACTCCTATTCATCCTTCAAAACCCACCTTAAATACGTATTCTATAAAGACTTGGTCCAATATCATCATATACTTGAACCTTGTTTCCCCATATATTCCTATAGCAACCTATACACACCTTTCTCAGTGTCTGCATACACACACACACTCACAAACATGGTTTCTCTAATAATCCACATGTACCATAATATATGTATGTATATTCAAATACATATATATATATATATATATATATATATATATATATATATATATGAAATTAGAAGTGGGCTAGGAGTTGATTCAATAATTCCATAAGTGCTCATTTTTTTTGTGTGTGGTGGTGCTGGGGATTGAACTCATGGCTTTGCATATACTAAGCAAGTTATTTACCTCTGAGCCACATCCCCAGTCCAATAAGTGCTCATATTTTTGAAGACTATTTGTCTTTCATAATCAAACAGTAAACTCAGAGTACAATGACCATGTCTGTTCATCTTTGTAATTCCAACACTGAACTGGGTTCCTGGCACACGCTTGGTTCTTAACAAATGGCTGCTAAATGAATGAGCAGTAGGTACTTACTTGAATAATTACACTCATCAAGAGGATCTAACCATTTCTTTGGGCCAGCATCATCAGTATTCTATAGAAACTCACAGGCTGAATAGATGGCCAGACTTCTTGATTCAGAGAGCATTCACTAAGCCTCTCCTCTCTATCAGCTCTATGCTAAATCCCTAGGATGGTGACAGCAAAAATGGAGGACTTGAGTCCAGCATGACACTATTGTTATAGTGACCCAACATTCACATATCTTATGAAACCAAACCAAACCAATAACATAAAATGGTTAAGGTTTCCAAATAAGCTGCATTGGGTTTTGATTCTCAAGGAGATGGTAGATGTGGATTATTAGAGAAACCAGATGAGAACAGTGATTGGTCACAGACAAAGCATTTCCACAGAAATAAATAAGTTCTCTGGACTTGGAGTACTGGCTGGCAGTGGTGGGAATCAAGAGTCAAGTGTGTCTGGGGTCAAGCCAAGGTGGGCGGTGATGGGATATAAAGTTGGAAAAGTGTGACTCCCTGATCCTGAGATGACTCTCTCCTGCCAAGCCCAGAGGCCCCGGAGCCCCAGGCTGATGACGCTCAGCGCTGGCAGGTTTTATTTAGCACACTGGGTTGGACTCAGATAATTACTTAATTGATTTTGCTTAAAAATAGAGTTGACAAGAAACGCCCACAGGATTTATTTTTGCTCTGGCTGCTTAATAAAGCCTTGGAACACAAGGGGAAAGGATGATAGGACAGCCCGGAATCACCTGGACTTGGACTCACCCAGGTCCCAACAGGCTGCTATGGTACACACCAGTGGCAGTGGTGCAGTGGGCATTGTTATGACTTTACATGATTTCCTGAACATAGAGAGAACTAGAAGACTGATGTGTGTACCTCTCCAGATAGGAGTCTCAAACCACACTTGGTGGCCTGTCCAGGAGAAAGAGAATTAACTCTGGATTGGTTGTAGCTACTACTGTGCATTCAGGTTGGGCTGGAGTGAGGTCTTGATTCTACCTGTGGCCTACCTGGGAGGTATGGAGAAGGGAGTCATAGTGGAGGAAAGACAGCAGAGAAGGGAAAAAGGAAGGGAAAAGGAGAGAAGGAAGAGAAAAGGAGGGGAAGGGAGGTCTTTGAGGGAGTTCTGTACTGGGTGTCCTGGCCTCAGTTGATTCCTCTGTAATGTTGAGAAAGGATAGTCCATACTTTCCAGATTCAAGTCATATGTACTTGGGGTATCCAAGGATTCAAGACACACATGTCCCCTTGGTGAGTTGGACCTCAGGATCTGCTTCACCCTATCTGCAGGAGCTCCCCCTTCTCCCTCTTCTCTCTGTGAACCAACTCCTGTTACTCTTCAATCTTCCAAGATTGAGATGGATCTCATCTACCAGTTATTCAAATAGCTTGTCAGTGGGGTCTGTTGTTTTTTCCAGCCTTTTTCATACAGGGATAGAGGAGGGCACATGCTGGGTTTGGAGATGAGTATCAGGGAAATGGAGATGGAAGACAACTGTGTCCTCTATCCTTTCTTCTGAGTGGCTTTATAGAAGCGCCTGGCATTCTGCTATTTTCCTGCTCATTTTCCTACTTGTTCTGGGCTTGCTATCTTCTCTCAACAATTGCAGCTGTGCCTCAGTACATAAATGCTAAGGGCCTCTGACAGCTCAGCCTGTCACTGCCTACAAAAGCATACAAGAGCCTGCTAGCTCCAGTTATCCCTATCCACTGGGATGTCACCAACTTCCACAGATTCCTAGGGGACTTTGGCCGGGATCCATGACGGCTGGACACACATCTTTTTGCTCTCCATTCACCTCTTCTCATCTGAAGCAGACAGCTAACTGCCTGTAAACATCACAATGCAGTGAGAAACACTGTGGGCTGGCCAGTACCCCCCAGATCAGCAGCTGCATGACATGGGCTGTCAAATATTACTGCTTTTCAATATGCTACTGCCAAGCAATGGGTTCTCTATTGTCTCAACTGAGTTGCTTGTCCCCCAACACTACTGAGAGGTATCCAGTGCCAGGGATCAGTTATTTACTTTGCATCCCTTGTGGGGCTGGGAACACAGCAAGTGCCTAATAAAAACCTCATGATTTAAGAAGAGCCTGAATTATTTCCTTTTGGCAGATTTGCCCATCACCACAGTCTTCTCCAGTCAAGATGTGGAGTTGCAGGAGCACTTCAATGTGAAGAGAGCTCAATTTCACCAGCTGCTTGTTCTCTGGATCTTCAGAAAATCATTACTTCCTTCCTGCTTCTATCAAGTAGCCAAAAGATGTTTATGGAGCACTTGCTCTGAGTGAAAGCTATTGTACTAGGGACAGAAATTTCTCTGAGCACCAAGAGCATCCTAAGTGAATCAATATATGATTCTTCTCCAATGCCTAGGGCCTCTCTGGATGCTGCACACTTCTTTCCACTCACTATCCACTCACTCACAGCACCAGGATCCTCCCGCTCTGACCCCTTCTGAATGATTGAGAGGAGCCTCAGAGCGAGACTTTGACAGCCAAGATGACTCTGGCCAAGGGCTGAGAATAGGGAGTTGAGACTATACTTACTGCGTCTATTTCTCCAACTGCCACCTGCTCAGAAAATCGGACCTTCACAGGATTGGACCTCAGCTTGGCCTTCTTCGCAGCACTGATGAAGGCAGATTTGGGGGACTGGAAAAATAACACAGAGAGCTGGTAAGTTCTCCATCCCTGGGAGAAACTTGACTTTGTCACATCATAGTTAAGATGTTTTAGTACAGTTGCACTTTGCCTTACTGATCATGAAATCAATAAATAAGTATTGATTACCTACTAGGTGCAAGGAATCTGCTAAGGATCATCTCTCTATGTGATTGGTGAGTGGTGCAAAAGCTGAGCATGAATCTAAATTTGGGTAAATTGAATCCTATTATTAATGCTCTAAGCCTAGGGGAGTTTGCAAAAATTCTTTAGTAATAACATATATTGAATTTTTATATATTTGGTTTCCTTAATATGGGATATGCCTAAATGGTGGATTTTATTACATCTGAATACAAGCTTCCCAAAGGAGTTACAAAAATGATCATATTCATTTCACAGCTATGCCCTGCCCCTAGGAAGGAGGCGCATAACAAATATTTTTTAGATGTGGGAGAAAGGAGATTCAGCACTCCAAAATGACTCATCTAGTTTCCACACTACTCAGGAATAGAGATTTGAGAGATTTAACCCAGGTCTCCTGGATTTCTACTTCTGGGTTCTACCATTTTGTTTATCCAATTTTGTAAGAAATGCTCAAAGAATCAGCTAAGTCCTGTAGTTCTAGAAAACTCTCCCAAAAATTCAGCAGGAAGTATGATCAAGAAACACTTGAAATTACAGCCAGACCTCCATATCCACAGGTTCTGCATCCTTGGATTCAACCAACCACAGATCAAAAATATTTGAAAAAATTGCATTTACTCTGAACATTTACAGATCTTTTTCTTGTCTTTGCTCCCTAAATAATACAATATAACAACTACTTATTAAACACATTGTGTTTGGTATTATAAGTAATCTAAAGATGATTTAAAGTATACAGGAGGATGTGGGTAGATTATATAAAAATACCATGCAATTTTATATAAGGAAATTGAGCATACAAGGATTGGGTATCCATGTGGGGAGGTTGGGGGGGGGGTCTAGGAATCAATGCACCATGAATACCAAGGTGATTTTTAGATCCCAGACAATCTAGCAGCCAGGAAACACATGTGGAAGGGCATCCTCATGTCTTTATGGACATTTATTCATTTGACAAATTTAGGAAGGTCCTACTATGTATGTACCCCAGACACTGTTGAACAACAACAACAAAAACTTCCTGGCCTTATGGAGTGTCCATTCCATCAGGGCCAGACAGATGAAGAACAAGTGTCTTGAAGGTAGCAAATAAGGACTATAGTAGTCTCCCCTTATCCATAGTTTCAATTTCTGCCACTTCAGTTCCCCATGGTCAAACTCAATTTGAAAATACTAAATGGAAAATTCCAGGAATAATTCACGTTATAAATATATTGTTACTCTTGTTCTATGATTAGTTATTGTTGTTAACCTTGTACAATGCCTAATTTATAAATTTAGCTTATCATAGATGTATAGGAAAATAGTATATTTATAGTTCAGTACTATTCACTGTTCTGAGTATCCACTGAGGAGAGTCTTGGAACATATTCCCTGCAGATGGGGGGTGCTACTATATGAAGAAAACTAAAGCATGGTAATGAACTACACAAGAGAATGTGTAAGAGAGGATGGGAGTGGTGGGGGTGTTACTTTAGCAATTTTGAAGCCTATAATACATTATTATTAACTAGTCACCCTGCTGTGCAATAGATCTCAAATAGATCTTCAATGTGAACAGAGCTCCTGATACTTCATAGTTGAACAGCATCTCTCTGTTGCCTCCTTTTGCCCCAGCATCTGGTAAGCTCTGCTTCTATGAGTGTGATGTTTTCAGATCTCACATATAAGTGAGATCATGCTCAGACAAGCAGCTGGGAGCTGGGTCATGTAGGGTCTTGTAAGCCCGGGTGAGAACTTCAGATTTCACTCCAATGGCCAGTTTTGAGCAGACAGTGTCTGATGTGCATTTTAAAAGATGTCTCTGGCTTCCATGTGGAAAATAGAGTGTATGTATTGGAAGGGTGGGGAAGTGACAGTGTAGGAAGACCAGTTAGGCATGTCAAACTGCAATATTGTAACTGTATTTATAATACAATTAAAATATGATGGCGGCTTGGCTGGAATGGTTAATAATGGAGATGATGAAAAGTGGGCTATTTCAGGATATAGTTTGAACACTAAGCCAAGATAATATGTTGATGGGGTGTATATGGGGTGTGAGAGAGAGAGGAGTCAACTAGAAGAATGGGGTTTCCATTTACTGAGATAAAGACTAGGGGCAAATCAGGTTTGGAGCCACTTCAAACCCCTTCCCCAAAGGGCCTTGCCATGGAGAGACTGTGAGTCCTACAATTAGGAATTTCTTTGTTATGGCCCTTGCAAGGGTCTCTGACAGCTGGAAAGACAATATATTAAGCTATTATATGCCATTTACACTGTGGTTTGGATTCATTTGCCAAATCAGCCATAGGAGGGCAGGGCCATAAGATAAAGACACACCAGAAACAAAGGTCCTTATCTGGTCATGGGCCTCTGGCCCAGCTCTGGTTGGAACCAGCAATCTCATTCCATACAGAGGGCAGATTACAAAAAGCCACTTGTTCTACCTGAGTCCAGCAGGAACTTGAGCAGTGAGTCTTGGTCCTGGCTGCACAGTAGAAATGCTTAGAACTTTTAAAATTTCCAGGGTCCAGGTCCCACCCCAGACCAATTACATCAGAAGTCCTGGTGTTGGCCAGGCACAGTAACACATATCTGTAATTCCAGCAACACCGGAGGCTGAGGCAGGAGGTTTGCAAGTTTGAGGTCAGCCTCAGAAATTGGGCAAGGCCCTAAGCAACTTAGTGATACCCTGTCTCAAAATAAAAAGGGCTGGGAGCTGCTTGGTGGTGCATCCCTGTAATCCCAGTGACTCAAGAGGCTCAGGCAGGAGGATTGCAAGGTCAAAGGCAGCTCAGCAACTTAGTGATGCCCTGTATCAAAATAAAAAAAAGGGGGGCTAGGGATCTCACTCAGTGGTTAAACACTGTTGGGTTCAATCGCCAGTACCAAAACAAACAAACAAACAGCTGGGGTTGAGGCCAAAGCATCAGTATTATTTTTTAAAGCTTCTGATGATGTCAAGGTGCAGCTAAGACTGAGAACTACTGAGCTAAAGGAACCTTAGAGTTATCCTGAGCCATGGAGGCAATTTGTTGGCAGCTGATGATATAGCGCAATGAAATCCAAGGCTGGAGATGGTTGTAGAGAGTGATTACAGTATCGATTGTTCATGGAGTCAATAAATGCCTTTGTGTGTTGCACAGCCAGGTGCTCAAATCCAGGGTGGGGGCTGCAGGCTGATACAGAAGTAAAGGGAAGGGGCAAGACAGAAATATCTGTAGTTCTGCTTAGCCAGTGCTGTTTGACTCCATCTCCACAGTCACCCGACTTCCCACCAAGGTGCTACAGACAATTGGTGGGTGGAATCTTTGTTGTACCTGACAGCCACCCTCTCGCTTCTCTGTGATCATCTGCAATCAGATGGCTCCATGGCATAGTGTGGAGCAAGGCATCTCTAGAGACCTAAATGGGTTGTGCAGTACACTCTTCATCTAATTTTTTTTTAGTTGTAGATGGACACAATGGCTTTATTTTATTTATTTATTTTTATGTGGTGCTGAGGATCAAACCCAGGGCCTCACCTTCAGTGGTAGAGGCAAGCACTCTACTACTGAGCTACAACCCCAGCACCCTACCCTTCATTTTTATATGTGAAACAGAGGCCTAGGAAGAAGGTATGGTTCATCCAAAGTACCAAAATAATTGAAGAGCAGAGCTGAAACTAGAACCCAGAGTTCTTGAACCTTGGATTAGTGATTGTCTCCCCACAGCAGGCTGAAGCTGGAAGTATATTCCTTATCTTTCATCCACTGATTCTGGTTGCACCTTGGTCTGATTTAATGATTTCGAACAGATGAAGAACTCCAACTGGTATCCTTTTATGTATTCTCCCACAGTGGAGGGGAACAGCATTTTTGTTCATCCTCCCCCAAATCCTAAATTAAATTCTGTCCTGGAGATGTTTTGTTTCAATCACCATAAAGTGATAGATTCAGATATTTACAGGAGCAAAACCACAAAGGAGGAAGTGGAATTGCCAATATTTTCAGGGATTATAATCATTTCTGGTGTCTGTTTCAGAGCTATTTTTAGCTTGTTTATGCCTCATTCCTCATTGACCCTTGTCTTGTTGGTCTCTAAGACACCATCATATTCTCAGTCTTCAGCCTCGATTGCTAATGGTGACTCACACATTGCCAGCCGGTCTCTGCTAGATGTCACGGAGTCATGTCTAGCCTTATGCTTAGACACACAGGTGGGGCCTGTCTTACTGGGGGACATAAGGCAGCTCTCAAAGGTCTCCCTGTCCTGAAGCATCGTCAAAGCTCAGTTATGGAGCCTGAAATTCTTAATACTAGGATCACTCTTTTGAATTAAAATACTGAGAATTGGGAAAGCCCAGGTCAAAATGCAAATGAGATATCAGGGAAGGGTGACAAACACTTCAGGTCCCAGCAAATAGCTGGACTGCATGGGCCAAAACTTGCCCAACTATCTGTTTTTGTAAAGAAAGCTGTAATTGGAACATGGCAGGCTGTGACCTTCACTTATATATTGACTGAGGTTGCTTTGGGGTTACCTCCGTTGGTCTGAAAAGTCAAAAATATTTACCATATGTCCCTTTATGAAAAGTTTGCTGACCCCTGCACTAACTTATTAGTAATGTGCTAATTCACTGCTTCTAAAACTTGCCCAAAGAATCGAATCACTGGGGAGTGTTTGTTAAAATACAGAAGCCTAGGCCCAAATCAGACTTAAAAAGGCAGAATCCCTGAGAGAGTGGGGCCCAGGAATCTATATTGGTGAAGATGTCCTAACCCATTAAGCACAGATTAATTGAGTACCTTAAAGCTGGGACATCTGAGCTCTTCACTGACCCTATTTTCCTCCAAGCAGCTGGGAGTCTCATTTTGCAACAG